GTGTGTGTGTGTGTGTGTGTGTGTGTGTGTATGTGTGTTTCTTTGGGACCAAAATCAAGTTCATACTTGTGAGGTGGTTTTTGTAAAGTGGGAACATTTTGTTTGATCCACTTTTGGATAAAAGGTTTCGAGCCGACAGACGAGAAGCAGAAGAGAGAAACGACTTTAAACAAAGATGGACGACGTGTCAGCTTCCGAAAGTGAAGCCAAAGAGTCTGAAACCTGAATCCGCTGTGATTGACCGAGAGCTCGTTTGCGGTGACTTTCTAAAGTGTCCGTTTATTCTGTATTTCTGTATTTTAACGCTGCAGGTGTGGATCTGTCACAGCTTCTGTAAAAGTAATTTAAAACCAGGGAACTTTCCTTCGTGCTCATGTTTTCCATTGACTCAGGATCTTTTTTGATTCCTCTCTAGAAAACGTGTTTCAAAGCCTCAGCTCCTCCTTTGTTGTTGAGCTGGATGTTTGTGTCTGGAAGCTGACGCACGTCCTCGTTGAGAAGAAAGATTTAGTCATAAATAGATAAAAAAACTAAAAACATAAAGAGACTCAGATTCTCCGACCTTCGGCCTCACGCTCAGGTTCTGTTGATTCTGGTGTCTGTTGCGGAGGCAAAGGACAAAATCGAAGCTATAACAGTTTGAAAAAGTTTTCTAGGTGTTTTTAACGTCCAGGTAGAAAGTTGCCCTTTGATAGAAACCCGGGAACAAGTAACTCAAAACAACGTAATAAAAAGACGACAGCCGACCGAAGTTTAACGTCTGAGAAACAGGATCCTGCAGAATAAAATAACTTTAGATCTGTTTTGTTGTTTTCAGGTGAGAGAGGAAGAGGAGAGGCATCACAAAGCTTCAAAATAAAGCACCGTCACGTTATAGTATGAAGATTAATTTGGCTGGAACCAAAACCTGTTTTTTCAAAAAGTCTAATCAATCAATTGAATTGTGTTAAAAGTGAATCCTAACACGTCAGATTTAGTTTCATTCAGTTTTTCTTTCTGAACATAAACAGCGGTTTATATATTTCAGATCATTCCAGCCTCGGACACATGTTTTCTCATTTTCATGCTGAGATTATTTATAAGTATTTTTCACTGAAGACTGGAGGAGGAAAATACCCATTTTAAGAAATACCCAACATGTGGAAATTAAAAACAATGGTGATTTTGGGAAATGGCTGGCAGAGGGTGCTGTGAAGTTTAGTGCCAGAAATCTATTTCCTTCCTCTGCAGGAAGTTGGGAACTCAAACGTGGGCAAACAAACACACGCAGGTAAACAGCAACACACTCGCACACACCTCACGTCCGTGTGTTCCAGCCTTTTGTTTCCTTCAGGTGGGGAGTCAGGAAAAACACGGGGGAGATGTAAATGGGAGGAACCGGCGCCTGGGACCGAGCCGCTTCCTCTGTGAAAACTTTCATCCAGTTTCTGCTGAAGAAAAACTTTTACTCATGATTTATTTTCTCATTTTGAAGACTGACGCACGTGTAAAGTGCATAAAGCCTCATTAGACTGATTCAGTCTGAACCTCTGAGTTGTTTCTGTCTCATAATTATCTAAAACGTTCTCTGGGGAATCGGTCGA